GATGAAAATTTCATAATCTATCCAGAGATTCATGATACTAGAAAATGGGGCTGATGTTATTGACAGGTGGAGCCAGGTGGCTATTTCATTTTGTGACCCACCCCTCTCATTTTTCTTCCTTCCCTGTTCAGTAGGCTGGTCCGGGCTTTAGAAATTAGGCTAAGGGTCCAAGGTATCTCTGTATCAGAGGCTTCCATGNTGTCAACCTTGAAGCTGGCCTGAGAGAGGCCATTTTCTGGGTTTCAGTGTTGCCACACAGAAGCTGAGGGTTAGGGAGCGGGGAATAGAGAAAGAGGGGATTGTAGTCGAAACAAAATACTTTCTCCTGGGAACCAAGGACATACTCCTAGTCATACCTAGTCAGAGACAGGAGGGATGATATTACCAGGCAACCGGATGGCACCATGCTTGTTTGGGGAAGGGGAAAAACATTTATTTTTAATTTGGTGAAAACCACAGGAACCTTTAGAGCCGGTTTTCACCAGCCTGTGCTAATATGATCTTTCCAATAAACTAGCTCTTTGAGAAACCTGCTTGTCTTGGAATCCTATTTATCCTAGGAGTATTATTTGGAACCCTGACAGATAATGCATGTCATGGAGAAGTGATTAGATCAGAACTCCATATCCTGAATGACTCGCTTTTTTTGTACATAGATGTCTGGGACCAGCTCCTTTTTGTAATAAGAAAACAGACACAGCACAATTTTGAAACCATATCTCTACTTATGCCCAGAGCACCTTTCATTCTCCAAATCTATTATAAATAGACTAAAGTTTATAATAAACAGTCTCTGTACCCTGGCTTCTAGGAAGTGCATTAATGGTTACCTTCAAACCATTGTTATGCTACTGCCTAGAATGTTCATGCTCACACATACACCTACAGAATATGTGAGAATAGGTGATCCTTGACTTACAACAGTTCATTTAGTGACTGTTCAACATCATTGAAAAAAGTGACTTATGACCGTTTTTCACACTTACAATTGTTGCAGCAGCCCCGTGGTCACGTGATCAGAATTCAGACCTTTGGCAACTGACTCATATTTTTGACAGTTGCGGTGTCCCAGGGTCACATGATTGCCTTTTGCGACCTTCTAACAAGCAAAGTCAATGGGGAAGCCACATTCATTTAACAACTGTGTTACTTAACAGCCACAGTGGCTCACTTAACAACTGTCTTGCTTAGCAACAAAAATTTTAGGCTCAATTGTGGTCATAAGTCAAGGACTACTGTACAAACACAGGTACACAAGTAAGGGCAACAATCTAAATTATTTGGTTTCATCCTGACTTTTCTTCCTACACTTTGTTTAGAATTACTCAAGCAGAAGTTCTGTATCTCAAGGCTGCAGAGGGAGTCATGGATCTCTATGACAGCTTAACCACTTCCAGTACAGGTAACCAATATAGGAGTTCACCAAAAGGTTACTATAAAGAGCTGGTGACTTGGCTCATATAAATACTAAACCATAGTTTAACCACAGGCTACTGAATAAACCCCAATGGCTTGGCTTGCCAACAACAAAATCAAACAAACTAATCTATGGGCAGATGGCCATTTGCTACGTCCCAGTCATGTGACTGTTTTTACCAGGGTTTTGCCAAAACCCAACACTTACTTCCAGTTTTTTGCAAAATCACATCCATAGCAAACAATAGCCTCTCACTTGTGATTGCCAGGTTTGCACTTATGACTGCAAAAAAATAATAATCACAAAATCAGGTCGGTCACATGACCAACTTGTTTTATGACTATCACAACATACATCTGTAATGGGCAGTCTCCATTATGGTCATATGTGGAGGACTGCCTATATGAACTGCAATATTATTTTGCATATGGAGTAACAGAAATCAAACTGGGGATATGCCACCTAACACCACTTTCTCACAAATCTATCTCTGTGTCTTGACCTCCAACCTCAGCCCACAGGCCAATGGTGATGATTTCAGTTGATTTTTTTATATAGCCTTTCACCTTAATGGCTGTATCATAACTCTATTGCTGAACATAAACTTGCCTACTGTATGTTGCCAACAGTAAAGCAGGAATAGAATCAAAAAATACTTTTAAAAGGCTCTCTTTCCTTGAAAACCAGGTTGTGTGTTTTTTAATTCAACAATGATATAATGATAATAAGGTTCTGTGAAAACAAAAATATTTGCAATAGACAGAGTTTTGAAACACAGTATTAAGTAATTGACAAAAATTGATTCTTACTTTCATTCAACTCAATATGCCTGGAACACAAGGATACCTCCAACAGAAAGTTACTCAGAAGTGAAGCTTTCCAACATTAGCACTTTGCAGCTTCACTACTCTGTTATTTGACTAGTTCACCATTAGTTGGTTTCACACATTATGCTAAACCTTGGTTTTCAAATCAAGTGGTTCAGTTCACACAATACTCTAAGCCCTAAAAAACAATACAGGTAATCAACTTATGATCACAATTGAGCCCAAATTTTCTGTTGCTCAACAAGATAGTTGTTAAGTGAGTTTTGTCCCATTTTACAATCTTTCTTGCCACATTTGTTAAGTGAATCACTGCACTTGTTAAGTTAGTAACATGGTTTTAAGTGAATCTGGCTTCCCCATTGAGTTTGCTTCTCAGAAGGTCACAAAAGGTGATCGCACTGCCACTGTCATAAATACCTGACAGTTGCCAAGCATCTGAATTTTGATCACGTGACCATGGATGGGAACGCTGCAACAGCTACAAGTGTGAAAAATGGTCATGTCATTTTTTCAGTGCCGTTGTAACTATGAATGGTCACTAAATGAACTGTTGTAAATCGAGGACATATTATATGTTAGGAAAATGTGTGATTATGCTTATTCTCCCTGATTCTGAGAAACAAGAAAATGAGAAATTGTACCGACAAACCAAAATAACATAACTGAAAAATAATTGGGAATTTGTTATAGCATATGTGGAAACTAACTCTGGACTATTCAGGGGTGGGCTGCTGAGGGTTCACAGGGGTTCAGGAGAACCTCTAGCTAAGATTCTGTGCAGTTTGGAGAACCCCCAAATCCCACTCCTGGCTGGGCCAGCCTGCCCCGCCCAGGAGTAACCATGAGGCCCATTTTGGATGGAAGTAAGTGCAGGGCACATGTGGAGGCTCGGGAGGGTGAAAAATTAGCCTACCGGAAGTTTGGGAAGGCCGGAAATGGGCCATTTTACCCTCCCGGAGGCTTGAAGAAAGCCTCCGGAGCCCGAGGAGGACAGAAATGCCCTCCCCACTGTAGTGCAGGAGCCCACCTAGCCCACGCCCATTATGGCCATGTCCACCCAACAACCAGGCAGAGAACTCCTTGCTAAAATTTTTGAAGCCCACCTCTGGGACTATTCCTCCCCACTACCACCACCAAAAACAAAAATCTAATCATATTTAGGCCTAAATAGGATTGGAAAGAAGATCACAGGAAATTCCAGGAATATAGACTAGACTGAAAAGAAGAAGCCATCTCCCTCATAATACTCTAGTAGCAAATCACTACTATATTGTTACCAAGGATATTTGAAGATGTACCTGCTTACATTGTTTTCCAGTTTCTCAGTCTGAGGCTAGATCCGTGCCCCTCCTTCAATCTGAAGGAGATGCTATTTTTACTAATGAGATTTAGCTTTAATTCCCTGCTCACTAGTAGCTATTCAACAACTGTGACCATGACGTGATCAACCAACAATTAACTTGAACCACTGTTTATATCAGTGGTAGTCAACCGTCCCTACCGTCCACTAGTGGGCGTTCCAGCTTTCATGGTGGTGGTAGGGGTTTGCTGTAACTCTGCTTTATAAAAATTTTAAAGTAAAGTTACTGCCCTACTTTATAAATCACCATTATTGTGGAACTGGTGGGCGGTTAGAAAATTTTAATACTACCAGAAGTACAAAAATGGGCTATAGGTATAAAAAGGTTGACTACCCCTGGTTTATATAATGAACACAATCAATTGGACTTACCCATCCTACTAAGCAGACTAGCCACAAGCCATCCAAACATAATTTAACATTAATTACATGGATCTAACTCAGTCTGGGAAAGAGAAAATAAAATATTTCCCACATATCCAAACCTGTAATCTATGAAAGACAAGTCAGAATAAAAATACTGTGAGCATATATTTTTTTAAAGGTTACAATCCTGTACATGTTTATCTGGGAATCTGAATATTTCAACTTTGAACAAATAGGTATATATGAAAAGAATTGGGCCCCAGATGTCAGACACATCAGTTGCTCCCAAACAAGAACAGTGCTTAGCAAATGAGTCAGTAATTTAATTCATTTACATGACACCATAATCTGATGTGATCTTTCCACTCGTGCATCTCAAAAGAGTTGCTACATACTGGAGAACTGAACTTTTAACTGCAAAGAGAAATATGACAACAGAATTTAGGCTGTGCACTTGGACAAGGATATTTTTTTAAAAAGACTCTACATTCAACATCAAAGGAAATAGTCCCTCCCTTTTTTTCCTAATAACCTCCCCAAACCTCAATACAGTTACAAAATCCCTGTTTATTACCTGCAATACAAATACATGAGATTAAGAAATATCCTTCACCAGAAAGTGGTCCAAATGACAGAATTCAGACCTGCTTCTCCCTGCATCCCTTACAGCGATACTCTTGTTTATCCCATGCTGAACTGATCCTGTTTTGCCTTTATTCCCAAATCCTAAAATACCCGGAAATGTGAGATGCGTCGTGTGTCTGTCTGTGTGTGTGTGTGTTTAATGTGTATGTATGTGTGTGTATGCATTGTATGTATGTATGTATGTATGTATGTATGTATGTATGTATGTATGTATGTATGTATGTATGTATGTATGTAAAAAAAAAGCCGTGCCATACATAGAGCATCTCGAAAACGTACCGAAAGCACCCGGGATTCCATCCTTCCCACCTTCTCCTTCCGTTTAAAAGAAAAGCAATGAGCTCGAGTTCCTGCAGGGAGAGGGGAGGAGGTGAACTAGTCCTACCTGCTAAAAACTGTACGGATCGAGGTCCAAACAGCTCCGGGACCTCCAAAGCTTTGCATCACGGACATCGCTTTTACTTCCTCTCCTCTGCCCAGAAGGAACATTGACTCAGATCCGCCCATTTTGGAATTTCCCAAGCATGACTGACAAGCCACTCAGCTAATCAGCGAACTTTCGGTGGCCGGTAGAGGCACAAAAGTGGGGGGACCGAAGCGGGGAAGCCCAGATGGGCTGGCAAACGTCTCAGCGTCGGGGGTTGTGCTTCGGTTCCGCGAGTCAACAACATGCCCTTCTGACGTTAGGTCCCGAGTCCGCCCTTCAACGCTGAGCTTGGGAGCTTGCTTAGAGGCGACGGTCTTTTGCATTAACAAGAAATATGGTTGCTTTTGCCCTTTGTGGTGCGTTCCTCGCTGATCTTTCCCTTGGGGGGTTTGGAAGTTTGCTCAGTTTTACATTTCAGTCTGTTTCTCCATGCTCCGTGCCCTGCTCGAAATAAAGCACCGCATTCGTTTTCCAAAGCGTTTGTGATCGGAATTAAATTTAGTTCGGGAGGCAGCAAACTGAAAAGCCCTGGCAAAATATATTTCCTCCTCTTGCTAGAGTGAATGTGCAAAATAAATGTAATGTTTCTCTTTTCTTTTACAAAAGGGGAGAGGTTGAAATCTCCAGTCAGTTAAATATGGGCTAAGATCATAATTTTTTAAAAAAGATAGGCACTCAGGATCTGCTGGTTAAAGTGTTACATAAGTTATATGCAATAGCTTGGTGTTGCAAAACAACCTTGCTGTCAATTATATTCAGGGATTTTTTTTTTCATTTTTCTTCTGCTTATACAAGTTTTACACAATTGCTATAGCTCAGCACCACTTCAACATGGAATTGATAATGGGGAGGATCACGCTTTTTTTTTTTTTAATTATCTGCATAGATGCTGACAGCAGGAAAAAGTAGGAGAGCAATGTGACTGCATGGGGCAGTGATGGTGAATGTTTTTCTGCTCGGGTGCCATAAGCCCCCCCCCCCCAGTATATGTACGCACACACACACATACATATACCGCACATGCCTCACTGAAGCATCCAGACTTCTGGCAGGCCCGGTTTTTGCCCTCCCCAGGCTTCGGGAACTTCCGGTAGGCCCGTTGGGCCCGTTTTTCGGCATCCACAGGCTCCGGAAGCTTTCCTGAAGCCTGGGGAGGGTGAAAACTGCCTCCCCCAGCCATCCAGAAGGCCAAAAATCAGCTGGCCA